TATCAATTAGAGGACATTAAATTGTAACTACTTGCTAGCTTTCACTATTAAGTGTAACAGGTAAATTTAAGAAAAAAAATTACCAAGTTTGGTTCCCTTTAGGCATCATTAAGCCACATGCTTTTAAATAAAAATTCTCCAAGTGTATGCCTTTTAGATATAGCTATTCTAGACCTAACATTACTAACGTGGTAGTTTTTAAAAGCTCTCTTTTGGTTTTTTGCAGCTTTATGAGTCTGGGTTGGTTCCCTGACTTTGACGAAGAACATGGCAGAAGTGGGATGTGGTACTAGAGCCATCACTCTTTGGAATCCAGCCAGGCACTTTGATAGACGCTACACAAGAAAGCAAAGCATCCCAAACCAAGTCCAAACGTGAGAGAGGGGTTACTAGAGACCATCCAGCCCTAGCTGAGTGAACACATGACTGTTCTCGGGGGCAAATAGCTGTCATTTCAAACCACTAAGTGTTGGACTGATCAGTTACACAATATATACCTGACACAAAAGTTGGTACAAATAGTCGGATGCTGCCATAACAAAGACTTAACATGTAACACTTCCTAACCAAGGCTGAAGAAAGGTGAACAAACTAGCTTGAAAAAGCTTAAGAAATTGCTATTGAAAGCTAGAGAAAAATGGGGACTCGTGTCTTGTATTAGCCAAACAATTGGCAAAACTAATGAACTTGTGATTCTAAGGTGGTTTCCACTGGCTTACTCAAGCTGTGTATAATGAGGTGCAGAAGAGAGAGATGAAAACAGGCAAGAAATTGGTCTGCAAGAATTAAATAAACAAGGGTGGCACCTGTGGCTCAAAGGAGTAGGGCACCAGCCCCATATATTAGAGGTGGCGGGTTCAAAACTAGCCCCCGGCCAAAAAAAAGAATTAAATAAAGGATACGTAGAGCTGTTGGGTTGGGTCCAATCTCTCCAGCAAGCTTAAGATTCTCAAAGTAGGCTGGGTGCCTGTGGCTCAAGTGGCCAAGGTGCCAGCCATGTACACCTAAGGTGGAGGGTTTGAATTCAGCCCAGGCCCGACAAACAACAAAGATGGCTGCAACCAAAAAATAGCTGGGCATCGTGGCGGGTGCCTGTGGTCCCAGCTACTTGGGAGGCTGAGGCAGTAGACTCACTTGAGCCCAGGAGTTGGAGGCTGCTGTGAGCTGTGATGCCATAGCACTCTACCTAGGAGTACAACTTGAGGCTCTGTCTCAACAACAACAAAAAAAGATTCTCAAAGTAAGAAACAATTTCAGGGTCATTATTAAATCAAGGCTATGACTGTTGTGCCCTTTGTTAAGATGTCAGGTTTAAGTAAGTGCCTAGTAGATTCTTTTAGCTCAACATAGCTCCAGAGAATCCTGTTTTCCATAGCACTCTAGCCCCCCAGAGAGAAGTCTATATGAATTATGACTTAACTTTTAAAGGGCATGTAGAGAATTTCAATTAGTTTTATAGGAAAACAATAGTTTTTAAAGGAGCCATTGTTTGCTGAATGCAAACAATGCACAAAGACATTTCAAAATGAAAAAGGCCCCTACACCCATCTATTCCTAAGTCTACTTCAGGGCACTTGAGGCAAATGCTAGAGTTTTAATTTTGAGAAAATGAGTATCTTTTAGTCCCCTTTTCTTTTCTTGGGTTTGTGCCTTAAAGTAATGACATTCACAAAAATTCTTCTAGCCACTGGAGGAAATGAATACATATGCTCAGAGGTTTTCACCTAATTGGAAGATCATCACAGCTAGAATTTGGGAGTGGTCATTATGACTCCCAGCTGAGGTCCTAGTTCTAAGACTTTGGCCAAATCACTAGTCTGTTTTATCTCAAAAAGGATTAAGCTAGAAAATGGCAGATTAGGAGTCCGAGATAACCTTTTTCTGGGTATAGGAGGAAATACAGAGCTCACAGTCAGCGATTTAATGCCCTCCTCTTGAACACAGGGGAAAAGCAAGGATTATTAGACATCTGAGGATTGCTTTCACCATGAGATAAAAAATCCAAATTAATGAGGAAGGAAAAAGGCCTTGGGAAGTAATACAGGGGATAGGGAAAAAAACGTTATGGGAAGACTAATTCGTATCTTCAGAAATTTGAAAAAATGAATCCATAGGATTCATGAAAAGGTGATAAAAGATGATTAGCACTTTAGAAACTTAAAGCCACAACTGCCAACATGAAAATTCAATGGAATAGTTTAAAATACTGAGAAAACCCATAGAATAAACCTAAAATGTTAAAATTGACACATGAACTTCATGGCCACTCTATATTGTGGCCATGAAGGGCAAGAGTGAAAAAAACGCCCTTTCACGCTACAGAACTTTCAAGCGCAGGTCAAAGAGCCACTGACTGCCTTGTGGTGAGCGTGGTTCCAGCTGGGAACTGCAGCATATTTTATCAACCATTTTATAATGACAAGACTATCACACACACACACACACACACACACACAAAAGGTCCTAAAAATTTCTGGAGTCTATAACGAATCTATAGACAAACACAGATGGAAGGATCACACTTCCCAACGATGACCTGGATGACAGAAGACAATGAAAAGAGGTCTGCAAAAAACTTTATCCAGTTAAGCCATTGAATGTGAGCCTATTAATTCATAAAATTTGTCTCCTAAATTTTTTCCTAATAAGTTACTTTATCATAAACTCAAAGAATTGAGAGAGTCCCCATCACAGTGACTTTTTAACACAAAATGTTAAGTCCTAGAATATGAAACAGAAGGCTTAGAGAGCAATCACATGTCTGAAGCAGAACTAATGGCTTCAAAATGGAAGTCTTGAGAAATGTGACTTATGGAATAAAATATGAAGAACCATCTGAAAATACTACAATTATGTGGTAACAGCACAAGAAAAATCCCCAAGATCTTCATATAAAAATTGATGGGCTGTACAAGAAAGGAAATATAATCATAGCTCTGGAATTGGCCCAGCATAAAATAGTGAGTTGTCATAATGCAAATCCAAAGAGCACACTTGGAAGTAACACACTATGTAGAAATAACAGAGGTGGGGAAGTAAGCTTAAGAAATAAATCAGCTCAGCGGCCAGGGCACCAGCCACATATACCAGAGCTGGTGGGTTCGAATCTAGTCCAGGCCTGACAAATAATAATGATAACTACAACCAAAAAATAGCCAGGCGTTGTGGCGGGTACCTGTAGTCCCAGCTACTTGGGAGGCTGAGGCAAGAGAACTGTTTAAGCCCAAGAGTTAAGAGGTTGCTGTGAGCTGTGACACCATGGCACTCTCCCTAGGGTGACAGCTTGTGACTGTCTCAAAAAAAAAAAAAAAAAAAAGAATTTTCCCATGAAAAAGAAAATAAAAAGGCAAATTCATTTATCAAGAATTATCAGCATAGTTATATAACTTAGCAAGTTTAGAATGGCTAGTAATTGCCTCCAGGTGGCAAATTTGAGAACTAGGACAGGGATCTTGAAGTGTATTATTTTAAAACAATATGTATGTTCTAAATTTTAATAATTGTTAAAATCAATAGAAATTAGCTTATATGATTTGTTGGCTCATTCTGTTCTTGGTATATTGTTACCTTTTCCAAACTAATTCTATGTACAAATCACATGTAAAGTTTATTTGCAACCTGAACACAGTGGCTCACTGTGTTCACAGCAATCTCAGCACTTCAGGAGGATGGAGGCAGAAAGACTGCTTGAAGCTAGGAATTGGAGATCAGCTTAAGCAACATAGCAAAACCCTATCTCTACCAAAAAAAAAAAAAAAATTAACTGAGCATGGTGATACATGCCACAGTGAGCTGTGATTGTGCCACTGAACTCCAGCCTAGGAAACAGAGCAAGACTCTTATCTAAAAATAAATAAAAACAAAAGTTTACTTGCAGTAAAATGCGATTTAAATGTTTATTCATGTACCAAAGCAAGCTGTTTTTTTTTTTTTTGAAACAGAGCCACACTGTCACCTAGGCTACAGTGCTGAGGCATGTTGTCAGCCTAGCTCATAGCAACCTGAAATTTCTGCTTCATGAGATCCTCCAGCCTCAGCCTCCTAAGTAGTTGGGACTATACATGCCCACCAGAATGCCCAGCTAATTTTTCTATTTTTAGTGAAGATGGAGTCTTACTCTTGCTCAGGCTGGTCTCAATCTTCTAAGCTTAAGGGATCCTCCTGCCTCAGCCTCCCAGGGTGCTGGGATTGCAGGTGTGAGCCACTGCTCCTGTCTGGTGAAAAAGGCTATATTTGTACTAGAATGTGAATAGTTTAAAGTTAAATCCAGAACTGGAAGTCATTCTGATGCCCAAGCTCACAGTATATTGTCTGCGATTATTCAAAACAGATAATGGGTTTTGATTTCCAAGTTTTCTTTTCCCTTTTTTAACCAAGAAAATTATTTGTTTTTTGTTTTATAAATATGTGAATCAGTTCTGACAGCAGTATATAAAATAGGATATAAACAAAGCTGTAGGCGACAATATCCAAAAGCAACATTAATAAGACGATGGATCTAGTATCATGTGTCACAGCTCAATACAATTCCAGAGCACAATGACCACATAATAATTTTGAAGGGCACCAGGCTGCGTCCGCAGTTCAGTGGGTAGGGCGCTAGCTACATACACCAAGGCTGGCAGGTTCGAATCCGGCCTGGGCCAGCTAAACAACGACAACTGCAACAACAAAAAAATAAATACAAATAGCTGGCTGTTGTGGGGGCGCGTGTAGTCCCAGCTACTTGGGAGGCTGAGTCAAGAGAATTGCTTGAGCCCAAGAGTTTAAGATTGCTATGAGCTGTGACACCATAGCACTCTATCCAGGGTGACAGCTTGAGACTCTGTCTCAAAAAAAAAAACAAAAAAAATTTTTTTTTGAAGGGCACCAATTAAGTCAAAATGGGCTTTTTAGACCACACCAAATCTGCTTAACAAAACCACTCTCTCTATATAGTGATTTACTGATTTGGTATTTTGTTGCATAAAGATGCCATGGAAGGACTGAATAGAAACATGTGAAATCATTTGTTCATTTATTCATTAATGTTGTCAAATTCAGTTTTCTATACACTATCATGTTTATTCCATTTTTATACTATTAGATATACATATTTTAAAAAAATATTTAACTTATTTTATGAAGAAATTAAATATTTTCTGGAAAAGAATCATTTTGTTATTGTTCTCTAGAAACAAACCTGAACAAATCTCATCCAACTTAACTGACTCAGTTAAATACCTCTGCTCAATGGCAACTTCTCTAAAGTCCTAGTTTACACAATTCTATTCTACTTAACACTGCTTTACCCTGTTACACAGTATATATTAAAGAACATCTTTGTAATAAACATGTTTCTCTTTGATATGATACAGAAAAATTTTTTCACAACTTCCAGCAATCACTCAAATATATTAAAAATGTATCCTCCTTTAAAAGGCACACACATATACAGGTTGGAATCTTTATTGTTTTAAAATTGTACAGGTCTTTTGCAATACAATATTTTGTTATTTTAAATGACCTCTAAATGGTTAATGTACAATGAATATCTTTTTTCCCAAAACTCAACCATGAATTACGATTTCATCAATGTGATTATTCTAAAGTGTCATAAATACAGAGGGAAGATCCAAGTGCTGCATTTAAAACAGTCAATGGCACAGACTCTTCTTCCCTTTAGAACCCAGATGACCAATCCATTGAAAGTGCTTTTGAAGACTGCTGATTATTTATGGCTGATCTTAAAAATCAGTCAATCAAATCACAGTTCCTTTTTTTAAAATATCAAAGGGCATTTAAAAAAATAAATGAAACAATTTGTTTTAGTAATCTACTGAGACAAACTCAAAATTATGATTATCTGCATGCAGTAACACATCTGTTTAAATAGCTTTGAAGAATTTATACATTTTATAAAGAATGTGTTAAAGAGTGCAAGTATTCTGATACTGATTTCACAAAAGGACAAATGCTGGTAATAATAACTAACATTTAACATCTAAGTCCAAGCTAATGTATATTTAACAGGCAATTAATATGGCTAGTCATAGGCCACAATGCACAAGGTATGCCCTTTGAGAAAACGAACTAGTTTGGTCCGCATTTCTAGAATTGTCTGGGTTAAAAAAACAAACAAACAAACAACAACAACAACAACAAAAAACCCAAAACACGAAATCAAAACCATTTTAATTCAGCCAAGAGTTCTGATGAATTTATTATTCCTAAAATGTAGCCAGTTAAAAAGTAAATGAAGTACACCAGTGAAGTATACTGTCACACCGACTTCTGCATAACAAGATGGCCTCCTGTTTTGGGGAGTGATGAACGAGCACTGTAAGGTAAATCAGGAAAATGTCATAAACGTATTAATTTCATCCAGAAGTTATACTTTCTTATTCCATGACACAGCTTTCACTCTGTAAAACTTTGTCCCCAAAGGAACTTTAAATCTGTTTTGTGCCTAAGAAGGAAAGAAAAAGGGAATCATTTGAAAGATTAAAACAAATCACACAGATACACTCCTATCTATATTACTCATTGCTAGAATATTTGAGGTGGGGGAAGCTTGTGTAGGGGAGTCTTTATAAAAAGATGCAAGATTTGTTCCTCACCACTGGAAAATACAGAACAACTAGTATTTTTTTTTTTAGGGACAGAGTCTTACTTTATTGCCCTTGGTAGAGTACTATGGCGTCAAAGCTCACAGCACCCTCCAACTCCTGGGCTTAGGCAATTCTCCTGCCTCAGCCTCCTAAGTAGCTGGGACTATAGGCGTCTGCCACAACACCTGGGTATTTTTTTTGTTGCAGTTTGGCCGGGGCCAGGTTTGAACCTTGCACCCTTGGTATACCGGGCCAGGGCCCTACTCACTGAGCCACAGGCACTGCCCAACAACTAGTATTGTTAGGAGACAAATATGGTAGCCACCATAAAGAACATAATAACGTGAGCCATATATCATCATTAAGTATTAAGAAATCTCAATAGTAGACAGTTCAAGTTCTATTAGTGTTTTGTACACTAAGGCCCCAAATTAGTGAGTCAGGAAGTATGTTCACTGATTCTATAACGATGATATTGTTGATATTACAGTCAGGTCAATTTTTAAGCCACCAATTACTTTACACTATCTTTCTTCAATAGGAGGGTGTAGAGTATGAAAATAAGAAAACATCAACTCTATCTATAGAAACAATTCACTTTTTGGCATCAGGTATGCAGGGTTCTTTTTTTGCACAAAAGATACCCATAACTTCATAGTTACAGAAAAGTAGTTTTTTGGTATACGTTGATGGATTGTTGGCAATCTTCCTCAACTATTTAAAGATAACATAAATACTCAGAAGGTCAAGAACAGTTCTGGTACAGATTTCTATATAAAGTAGCATGCAAATCTTCTTCATAATTCTTAGGTATGTATCACATGATGCAGTTTTTACCTTTTTGGCTTGACAGTATTCCTTTTCCATTACTTTTCCAAGTACCCAGGGTCTTCTAGATGTACCTGAAGCTAATGAATGAAGTAGTTAATTTCTTTTTGAAAATATAGTTGTAATTATTATTAAAAACATAACTGCCAGAATCAAAAAAGATTAACGAAGTTCTTATGAGTAAAAGGATATGTAAAACTTTTAAAACTGCTGAAATCACTGAAATGCTTAATACTTTATAAACAACACTGAATTTATGTTGCCTTCAATCAGTAATATGTAGGTGGTTTTTGTTACTCATTAACCGAACATACATGGTATGCCAAATCACGGAGCTAACAGTTCAGGAAATACTAATAATCTAAGTATAATTCATGAACAAATAAATCTAGGAATTCTAGGCTAACTCAACAGTGCCATCTACTGAAACAAATTAACAAAGATCACTGATTCCATTTTTCAAAATACTTAATAGATTAAAAGCAAAGCACTGTTTTTTGAGGAGTAGTGCTCAGTGTAAGTCTTTGAGAGGCAGAAACTGCACCTTAACCACATCTGTACGCCACAGCGTTTGGCATGGCAGTGTGTACACAGTTGGTGCTCAATTAATACCTAAGAAGGATTAAGAATCAAAGAAAGTATAGTAGGTCTAGAAAGGCAGCATTTGTATGAAGGGAAGTTGGAAATGTGGGAGATATGCGATGAGAAGACCAGTCCTCCCAAAGCCAAAGTGGAAAAAGCTAAAAGAGAAAATGTTATTACTATTATTTTGAGACAGAGTCTCACTCTGTTGCCCTGGGAAGAGTACTGTGGCATCATAGTTCACAGAAACCTTAAACTCCTGTATTACAGGGATCCTCCTGCCTCAGCTTCCCCTGAGGCACCTGTCACAACACCTGGCTAGTCTGTTTACTTTTAGTAGAGATAGGGTCTCACTCTTGCTTAGGCAGGTCTCTAACTCCTGAGCTGAGATGATCCACCTGCCTTGGCCTCCCAGGGTGCTAAGATTACAGGGTAGAGACACCACGCCACGCAGCCTTCATTCTTTTTAAATTCATCAGAAGAGAAAATTGCCCACTATTGAAGTTGATTTCAAAAATATTCAGTCAGGCAAGGCACAGTGGCTCATGCCTATAATCGTGCTTTGAGAGGTCAAGGTGGGAGGATCACTTGAGGCTGGGATCCTCAAGGATCACTTGAGGCTGGGAATTCAAGATCAGCCTGCACAATAAAGTGAGACCATGCCTCTACAAAAATTAATAAATAAATAAATGTAGCTGCGCATGGTGGTGTGCACCTGTAATCTCAGCTACTTGAGAGGCAAAAGTGGGAGGATTCCTTGAGCAAACTCTTGGAAGTCAGGGACCCTCTGTATTCTGCATAGGCTAAAGCTTCTGATATTCTCAACAGAAGATGTAAAAAAAAAAAATATATGGGCATTGAAAAAAATAATAATATGGAAAGAAATACATGAAAGGTGTTTTGAATAAACCATTGGAAAGGAACCTTAAGGATACTGTCCCATGACAGAAAGATAAAAGCTCCGTGGCAATAGGACGTGAAAAATACACTAAAGAGTAAATTAGCACTGCACAGCCAGTTCATAATGTCTAAAATAAATTATCAAAAACCAAACGCTTGCATTACGCCAGAGTAAGGAGTCCACTATCCCAGGTACAAAATACACTAGCAACCTATACCCTACCATGGCAACACAGTAAAAGGGAGGACCCCAAATGGCATCCTCTGTTAAGAATTTCTCAAAGAAAAAAGGGGGGAGCAGTGTTTTTATGGTTAAGTAAGATTGTTAAATAAATTCTTTTCTGCAGGATTTGGGGGAAGGCTTTTAAAATGGTAATATAGGCTAGGCAAGGGGACTCATTCCGTAATCCCAACACTGTAGGAGGCCAAGGTGGAACAATCACTGGAGCCCAGAAGTCTGAGGTTACAGTGAGCTATGATTATTGTACTACTGCATTAAAACCCCAGTGACAGAGAAAGACCCAGTCTCTAGGGGGGAGAAAAAAAGGGTATTCCCCAGACTTAAACACTGAGCATCCTATGAATATTTTGAAATATTTAAAAGTGTGAAGACCATGATGTAATTTACCTTCATATGGCTGAGAAAAAAGTGTGCACACGTTTGTGCATAGTATGTGTCTACTGGATACAGGCACATACAGAAATGGTGCAGACAGGGCAAACGTTAATAACTAGTGAAGCTGGTAGGGTATATGGGTTTTCTTTGTACTAACGTTAATTTTTCTAACTTTTTTCAAAGTTTAAAAACCATTTTTAGAAATAAAAAGTTCCCACAAATGAAAAACATTCAATAAAAAAAGTATCAAGTTCATTATTTTTAAGATTAAAAAAATACTGAATAGTAAATTGTAAAATTATCCTTATCCTGGTCACACAACTATTGTACTAGAGACATTCTAAATAGCTCACCACAAACAACCATGATGAAGTTGTCATGGTGCACTAGCCTAGCTCATGAATAGGTATTTGAGTCCATTCACATGTCATTCTACTTAGGAACATCAATCAAAACAGAAATATTTTTGTTTTCTCTATTTAAATAATTTTACATAGGCTAGGTATACCAGAACATCCATTCTGTCCTATTTGAGTTCTTTAAAGATCACGTAGGAACTGATGATATGAGTTGCTACTTTGTATAAACCTTATTGCCTGTAAAAAAAAGTATGGACCAGTATAATGAAAAACAAGGCAGAAACACAGGATGACAAATAAGATAGAAAAGATATTTTACAATTAAAAAAAACCAACTTATTTCAGGGTGGTGCCTATGGCTGAAAGGAGTAGGGTGCCAGCCCCACATACCGGAGGTGGAGAGTTCAAACCCAGCCCTGGCCAAAAAAAAAAAAAAAAACAACAAACTTATTTTGCCAAAATTGGCAACGCCTTTTTGGACTAAGTTTGAATAGGCTGCACATGAGATTTCTGACAATATAATTCTGTAATTGCTAGGATATGAGAACTCTGAGTCATCACATCACCAGTTGATTCACTGTTTAAGTACTCTAATTTTGAAGAGTCAAGAGAACCCACAAAAGTAATCTAGATAAGGCAAATTTTATAAAATACAGATGAAGCAGGGTTCCCTCTTAGTGACTTAATTCTGATGTAATTAACAACAGGCAAAAAACAACTTTAATATACTCCCTCCACTCTAGTTGTAATATTTTAGTTATGGAATGACACTTACCACCCTCACCTGGTTTGAGATCCAGGGCAGGCAAAGATTCTGAATGAAGAAAATATAAAGTAGGACTAACAGTAAACAATACGTAATTGTCGTGGCGTTCATCTAGGATGATGAGCACCAAATCTCCCACCTGAAAACTGAGCAAAGAAATATAATTTTATTAATTCAGAGATAGTTACTATCAATTCCCATTCTGAAAGCTTAAGTATATACTGTATAATGTTCAATTACATATTAAAATATTAATGTACTATTAAATTTCACATTTACAAGATACTCTTTTTGTACAAGCCCAGCTCCTAATGGGACTTCTGGTCATATGCAAATGTGCAAAAGATGATACCAGAACTGTCAAAAACTGTAAGTTTCCTTAATAAACTTTCCACAATCTAATGTAAAAAATGGCTTGGGTGAGGGGCAGAAAAACCACTCATCATAGTTCCAACACAGGAAGGTATTTTGCCAATCTTTCATTTTACACTAGGAAACATAAATTCAAACAGTGTCAATGAAAGAACTAGACCCTTTGCTCTAGTTTCCAAGTTCAGCGCTCTTCACTTTCAAAGAAAATGCAACTGAGCTAGGTCCATAAGCCAGGTACTTAATTATGCCTAACAAGTCAATGGACATTGCTGCTCAGGGTACCGTCCTAAAGGAGGAACAAGGAAAGGGAGTAGCAGCAACAACTGCCCACACACCTCAGTGGAGTCTCTCTTCAGGGCCTTTTTTAGAATGACTGTTCAAAACATCAACAGGCCTTGAAAATTAATCTCAAGATTCCTCAGATGTCAAGATCATTTAATTTAGATCTTAAACTTAATAAAAAATAAAAATGAGCTTGAGAAGCTTTTCAAGTACAACAGCCTTTTATTCATTAATTGATTATCCTACAAATACTGCCTACCTAACAATGTGGCAGGCACTGTTTTGACTTAAGACCAAAAGCCAATATTGTAAAAGGGAGAAAATAGGTCTCTCTGAGGGAGTTTTATTTTTTTTTTCAACACTCATCTCTCTTAGTCTTCTAAAGGCCATGAATGAACTTCCCACTGATGTGACATATAGTTTGTAAAGACAGATACCACTCAGCCTTTCATTCAAATCACTGAGAGATCAAATTTTAATGACACGTGAAAGGTCAGAATAACAGATACCTGACAAACAAAACTATAGTCAAATTTAGAAACGAAATATTAATATTGGAAATAAGAAGTCTTTAATTTTCACTTCTCAAGTATAAAAAACTGAACATTATTTGTGAGTTGGTAGCAACGCTTTTTTTATTCCAGAGTTCCTTTCAAGTAAGCCAAACCAAAGAAAAATTACTATGGGGTAATATGGTCCAGGAATATTGACTACTGAACTAATAAATCTTATAATCTATTATTTGTTTTTAACATATCAATAAAATGAAATCTAATAAAAATGAAGAAATAGTGCAACTTAAAAACAAATTGAGATTTACCAATATAAAATGAAAAAGATAAAGGAGATGAATGGGATTTAAAGGTGGCTGAAAAGTTACCTAGAGTCAGAGAGGCTTCAAGGACACTTGTGAGGACCATAAAGCTATGAAAGGAATGTTTTGGAATGCAATTCTAATGTTCCCAAGATAACAATTAAGAAAATTTGCAATCCAATAAAAAACTTTTACCACCACTGAATACAAAACACTGAGCTCATGAACCCAGCCTTGAAGGATCATTGCCACTGAACTACATTAACAAGATAATCCAGCAATGTTCTTCATAGAAACTCCCCCCTCTCAAATTAAAATACTTACTCTCTAATAGCTATCTTTTCAGAATGCCTTGAAGATACTGAAGACATGCTCTGAGACATCTAAAAAACAACAGAAACAGGAATAAAGTTTATGAACCTTATGCAATGTGAACACGTCTATTTATAAGGTAATTTACTACAAAAATTTCATTAAGTTACCCATCCTCAAGCTTGTGTCACAGTTTTGAAGGGTCCAAAGTAATGTATAAAAGTAGTATGTTTGTTCATTATTATAAATCCTTCAACAATTAGACAAATTCATTAGACAAATTGACCTTCATTTTAATTTGTCATTTTGTCAAATATGGTTAGATTCAAAACTGACTTTAAAATCACATTTTTTTGACATTATATATGGAATCTTAAAATAACACAGAGAAAAAGACTGAAATTTTTCAAGAAGTGCTTGAAAATTCTAGCACACGGTTTTTAGAATTTTTCCTTTTGGAATAACAATGAAACAATTAAAAAAAGGCCTTTAAAATTCAGTCCAATATCTATGTAGAAAAAACAATACTACTCTGGATAAAATGAAGTCATCTGAGCATAATGTGTTATTTATTTATTTATTTATTTAGATAGAGACTCTCACTCTGTTTCCCTGGGTAGAGTGTCATGGTGTCAAAGCTCACAGCAACCTCAAACTCTTAGGCTCAAGTGATCCTCCTGCCTCAGCTTCTTGAGTAGCTAGGACTACAAGTGCCTGCCATAATGTCTGGCTAGTTTTGCTATTTTTAGTAGAGATGGGGGTCTCTCTCTTGTTCAGGCTGTTCTCGAACTCCTGAGCTCAAGCAATCCACCTGCCTTGGCCTCCCAGAATGCTAGGTTTATAGGCGTAAGCCACCATGCCTAGTTAAGCATGTTTTGAGGGTTGAGAAAGTCTCTCCTTACTTATCTTCAAGGCAACTCTTGAGATGCCTCAGTTTAAAAACCCACTATTCTGAGCAATAACTAAGAAGTGACAACTATCGATTTGGAATGAAATGGTACTTGCTGTTGCCCATACTCAGCTGGGCACTGCTTCCAGAGAAAGAAAATAATAATAATAAATAATGACCAGAACAGCCTAAAATTGTATAACTTATCCAGAGAAATGAACCATATCTTGCTATTGAAGATAAGATTGATCATCCCTTTTAAGAACATATTAAACTTTATTTAGGTTTTTTAAAAGATTAAGGAGTTCTTATTTATTTATTTTTTAAAATTTTAATTTATTAATGTTACTTTTATTGATTTTGGGGGAGCGGGGTAGAGACAGAGTCTCACTTTATTGCCCTCGGTAGAGTGCTGTGGCATCACACTGCTCACAACAACCTCCAACTCCGGGGCCTAAGTGATTCTCTTGCCTCGGCCTCTTGAGTAGCTGGGACTACAGGCACCCACCATGACGCCTGGCCACTTTTTGTTGCAGTTTGGCCGGGGCTGGGTTTGAACCCACCACCCTCGGTATATGGGGCCGGCGCCCTACCCCCTGAGCCACAGGCACTGCCCAGGAGTTCTTATTTTTATTATAAATGAAGATGTAGACTAAAAGAAAAATTATGTGAATGCAGTTGTAAACCTATGTGAGAGTATGATGTACAATTAGATATTCCTCTGGATGTAAGTGTGGTGCTTTTTGAGTATGAAAGGCAAAATTCATTTATTCATAAATATTTGCCACATATCTATAGTGTATAGGTGTTAGGAATACAGCAATCATCAAAACTGATTAAAATCTGCCCAATAGAGCTTATATTCTACTAGGAATACTACACAAAACATATGCTATGTGATGTCTGGGACAGGCAACTCTTCTAAAACATTTTGAAAAATTAATGACTGACAGTATAATCACTACTGAATATGCAATATTTGTTGTTGAGTTGAGGTACAAAAAAGAAAGCAGATGTCTCACTACCAAGGTAATTTATTTTTAAGAAACTCAATTCTGAAGTGTATTTCAAATTTTTCTCAAATACTGAACATAAGCCTTAAACTGTTCCTATTTTCTTATAAACTGTGATTACTGGAATTTCAAAACCGAAGCAACTGCTTTATTAAAACATCTATGAGTGACTGTAAAATGGGCTGTTCAAGTAATTAATTAAATTCACAGGTTAAAGCAAAGGTATAAGATCATACAAGGTCTCTTGCCTTTCAGTTACAGTCACTTAAAGATAGAATTCATGACAAGATATAATGTACTAAAATCATGCATATTTGTGATACATGTTAATCTTCAGAAGACTTATGAAGCTAAGCAATAATTTTTAATGCGCCGGCTGAATTAAGAATCATAGCTAAGATTACAAACACATATAATCATGGAATCCTAAGAAATTAATGGTTTTATTAATAAACAGAAAGGGTGGCACTGAATTTATTGATTTTTTTAAAAAAGAGTCTTAGGACAACAGTTCATTTGGTCTTATTCACAGTCACTTTGGGGGGAAGGGGAACATACCCTATTTTATTGCCCAGGCTGGAGGGCAGTGGCCAGAACCTGGGCTCAAGCAATCCTTCTTCTGCCTCCTGAGTAGCAAGGAATACAGGCTTGTACCACCCACATCCAGCTAATTTTTTTTCATTTTTTTTGTAGGGACAGGGTCTTGTCTCAAGCAATCTTTCTGCCTTGGCCTCTCCAAGTGTTGAGATTACAGATATGAGCCACCACATTGGCCAGATCTATAGATTAAGTCTCACCAAGACATATTCAACTTTACACTAAGAAGAAAGTCTGAATTTAGTCACAGGTGATAGGTAACTGTGACCTGACTTCAGTATTCTGAGAATCGACAGTATACAATAACCAATGTGGATCAACAAAACTACTATAAACAAATCAATCAAAGCACGCACTATTCTATTAGTCTATCTTCCTAATGAAATAGAAGGCAAATAATTTACAAATACTAAGAATAATTTATCAAGGAAAAAAACATACCAGTCTTTGATTTAACCGTTTATTTTCTTCTTCTTTCAGTTGCAATGTCTAGAGGTAGAAAAAGAGACCCAAACTTTACTCTTGTGCTATTCAAATAAATCCAAACACAGTGATTGTTAGAAAGTTCTCATTGTCAAATTAACGTTCAATTCTAGTAGTATGAAAGGTAAATGGGGATTATTTTCTATGAATCTATTCCAACTGTTTAATTATTTACTGGCTTAAATGAGAACCAGAATAATTTTACATATATTTACATGTTAATCTACAAGGTATGTCAAATTTTACTGTGCATTACAAACATCTGTGAAATGTACAAATAAGCGGTAAATACAGTATTTGAGATCTATCCTCAAAGACTTTGTTAGTAGATCTCATCTAACGGAAGAAATCTACATTTAGAACACACATCTTAGGTTATTGTGAGGTAGGCAATTATAAAATCCTTTAATAACAAAAGACCATATACTTTATTTGAACAAAAATTGTACAATTCTGACACTGGATTTTTACCAATTAATCTTTTAAGAACAGAAGACAAATGCTGAAAATCTTAAAGGCCTAAAAAAGAAAAACTTATCTATGAATAAAATTTGTCAAATGTGTATAAAATTCGATCTTATGGGAAGTACAATTAGAGAGAAGTTCCTTATTGCCATTTTTTGTTCATTTCAATTACTCATTATTAAAGAGGTAACTCCCTCAGTATGCTTATATTTTTGTCCATTTGTAAAAGATATATAATACTTCATTTTTGAAAAGAATATATAAACTTATGCTTATATTATTTTAAAAAAATTCTGAACTGTTACTAAAGAACATTATTTTATTCATTTATTGTATTAAAACTACGGACCTGTTCCTCTGACACAGACTTGACTCACTGGGAAGTTATGACAAATGAGCAGAGTAAACACCATGGTAATTTACTAGGATCACAAAAAGACAAACTTCTCAAAACATTAACCACAAAATAAGTTAATCATTAAAAGATTTAATTTATACGGAAGTAGAGATAGTCCATTATATGTTTTCAGAATAAAGTTTATTTAACTGCATCCCCAAAGTGAACACATTATACATGGTACTTCAAGAAGAGAATTTACTTACCCGTTCTAACAGCATTATCCTCTGTTTTTCTTCAGACAGCATATGAATATTTTCTCTAAAGGTAACAGAATAATTCATTTTAACTTCAGTCCTTTGAAATTCTTTTTTTAGAGACAGTCTTACTTTATCGCCCTTGGTAGAGTGCTGTAGCATCACAGCTCACAGCAACCTCGAACTCCTGGGCTTAGGCGATTCTCTTGCCTCAGCCTCCTGAGTTGCTGGGACTACAGGCGTCCACCACAATGCCTGGCTTTTTTTTGTTGTAGTTTGTCCGGAGTCAGGTTGGAACCTGCCACCCTCTGTATGTGGGGCCTGCGCTCTACGCACTGAGCCACAGGTGCTGCCCAATCCTTTGAAATTCTTAATTAACATTCTTCAATAAGATTTTGAAAATTTTAATATTAATATTGATCACTTTGTTATTTAAGGGTTTGTACTAAATTTTCAAAAGCAGTCTACTTAAGTAAGGACATAATTTCAATACTGTATATTCTCTGTAGGAGACCTACACCTATAAACCTTTTCAAATGATAAGCAAGATTTTGTGCGTGCACTCATCTAAGGATAGTATCTTTAAATTTTCTATTGCTCCCCAGGGATTAAGAACTACTTTTCTTCCTATGTGTAAGTAAATTCATGTTACTGACAAAGTTGTAACTGTTGAGTGACTTCATTAAGATTTCAATGGATATTTACTCAGTGGCCGCAATTTATGTGCTGGACACCATGCCACATGAATTTACCCACCACACTAAAATATCCAAAAAATAATTAGAAAAGAAAAAAATGCTCTAATATTTAAAAACAAGAAATATTGTTCATGTTTTTAAATTCTTCTATAGGTATAACCCCCAATTTTATATATATATATACACACACACACACACATATAAAAGGTTTTATTTTAGGTACAGGCTAGGCAACCCATATATATATATGTGTGTGTGTGTGTGTGTGTATATATAGTTCCAATTATATATATAATTGGTAAACCAGCCTGGGCAACATAGTGAGACCATAGCTCACACTTATTATATTTTAAGCAAGTTGATACAGGTAGGGAATTGTGGCTTCTTCTAAATGTTCATTCTTTAGGAAGAGACTTTGTCTACTTTAAGATTATGAAGATTTACTCCTATAAGAGTTCAATAATTTTAGGTTTTATATTTAAACCTATGATCTATTTTAGGTTAGCGTATATGTATGGTGTGGAAAGGGTTCAACTTTATTCTTTTGTCTATGGATATCTGGCTATCCCATCCCAGCACCATTTGTTGAAAAGACTGTATTTCTCACACTGAGTTGTCTCAGTACCACTGATCATAATGTTCAACATGCATAAAATATAAAGGCTCATTTCTGATCTCTCAATTTTTTTTCTTTTTGAGACAGGGCCTTACTTTGTTGACCAAGTTAGAGTGCACTGGCCTCATCACAGCTCTTGCAAACTCAAACTCCTGGGCTCAAGAGATCCTCCTGCCTCTACCTCCAAAGTAGTTGGGAGTATACTGACACATGCCATTATACCCACCCTGACAACTTTTTGAATAATCTTACTGAACCAGTTCATTAGTTACAATAGGTTTTTTATAAAATCCCCAGGACTTGCTATATATAAGATCATGTTATATATATTAAAAGAGTTCATTTCTTTCTTTCCAATTTCTTTCCTAACTACCCTTGCTAAAAGCTCCAAGTACAATGTTGACTGCCAGTGACAAAAACTGAACATCTGTTTAGATTTTGGGGGAAAAGTGTTCATCTTTTACCACTGAATATGACATCAATCGTGGGTTTTCACAGATGGCTTTTTTCAGGTGGAAGAAGTTTACTTCATTCCTTGAGTGTTTCCATCATGAAAAACTACTGTATTTTGTCAATTACTTTTTGTTCATCTATTGAGATGATCATGTTTTTTGGGTCCTTTTATTCTAGTGATATGGTTATTATATAACTTAATTTTCAGATTTTAACCCCAACTTGAATTCCTAAAATTAAGCCATTGATATTTCTTTTGTATGTTACTAGATTTGATTTGTTAGTACTTTGCTACAAATATTTGTGTTCATAGTTGTAAAAGAGATATATATATATATTTTTTTTGTGATATAATTGTCTGACTTGGTATAGTGTATGACACTGGCCTCATAAAATGAGTTGGGTAGAATTCTATTCTATTCTGGTAGAGACTCTGAAGCTATGGCGATGATTATTTAGAAATGTGGAATTCTTTCGTCTTTTAGTTGTGAAAAATAGTAATTACCAGTTTTTTTGCTGTCTATGCTGTATTAAAGTTTCAAATTTCACTGTAACATTATTCTTTTCAAATTGCTTCCCTATCCTGATTTGAGAATAACCTTGCATTTTCTTTTTTTTTTTGAGACAGAGCCTCAAGCTATCCCCCTGGGTAGAGTACTATGGCATCACAGCTCACAGCAACCTCCAACTCCTGGGCTCAAGCGAGTCTCCTGCTTCAGCCTCCCAAGTAGCTGGGACTACAGGCGCCTGCCACAACACCCGGCCATTTTTTGGTTGCAGCCACCATTGTTGTTTGGCAGCCCGGTCTGGATTCGAACCTGCCACCTTAGGTGTCTGCGGCTGGCGCCGTAGCTGCTTGAGCCACAGGCGCCAAGCCAACCTTGCATTTTCTTTAAAAGATTGAAGTTAAAAAAAAATTTAGTCTTTACTGTATATATTTGTTTTTACATATAATATAAAATATGTATTACTCCCCACCAATTACTGTTACGTTCTGAGGAGTCGATCTTTTATCAAAATGTTTTAAAATGCCATATAAAGATTTTCACACATGCCTGGATTTGTTACCTGATTATCAGTTCTACTGACCTACATGACAATATATTGAATTAAATACTATACATACTAACAATGTATTGAGTTCAATATATTGAATTAAATACTATCTATATGGTTTAAGACTGTACCTCAACACCTGGCAAGATAAATCTATCCTCTCTGATCTTTATTTGGAAATGTAACTCATTATTTTTTTACACTTTCTTCTGTATGAATTTTACGATAAAACATCAATTTTTACCTAATATATTGTTAGAATTTTAATTGGGCATAGAACAAATAACTGAAATCTGAAGAGAAAAATGATACCTTCTTAACATTGTTATTTCCAACTTTCTTTCTGTGTTTTTGGGTCTCTTCATATCGTTAATAAAGTTTTATAGTTTTCTCCAAAAGGTCTTACAAATTTTTAAAAATTACTAACGAATTATTCCTCTAAACTTTTAGTAGGATCTTTTATACATATTTAAACCAGTTTCTGGCTGGCAAATATGCAAACTATGCATTTCTGAAAATATCTGTGACCAACATTCTCTGCTAGTCCTTCTTTAGACTGTCTTTCTCAGTTTTTATTGTTATTCATTTGTGTCTTGCTGAATAAGTACGGTGACAGCTGGGATTCTTTAGGCTTTTTCTACATTTATAGAAAATACATCTAAATGTTTTAACATTAAATATATTTGTTACAAGTCTCATGTACTTATCAAATAAAAAGAAGCTCCCACATATTCCTAGATTGAATGAGTTCATTTTTCTTATTTTTTATTTTTTTTGGAGACAAGAATCTTACCCTGTCACTCTCAGTAGAGTGCCATGGTATCATAGTTCACAGCAACCTAAAATTCTTGGGCTCAAGCCATCCTCTTGCCTAAGCCTCCCAAGTAGCTGGGACTACAGGCACTTGCCACTATGCTCAGGGTCTCACTCTTATTCAAGCTGGTTTCAAACTCCTGAGTTCAAGCAATCCACCCACCTTGGCCTCCCTGAGTGCTAGGATTATAGGTGTGAGGTACCATGCCCAGGCATTGCTAAGGGCTTATGAAAATATTACTATTCTAAATGTATGTTCACTGAATTTGATTAACTGGCATTGGTGCTCCTATTGAGATCATTATATTATCTTTCTCAAATAACCAGTGAATAAATATGGTTATATTTAGAGACCGTCTACTGTTCGGCTATTTCTTTGGCATTTATGAAATGCTCCATTCGTTCATGATGACTATGTCATCTAAAAAATCATGGCATTTGATATTCTAGAATTGTCTTTAGCCTTCTTTATATCTATAATTCACAAGATTAACTTATATTCTCTGAAATTGTTAAAACCCTCTTTGTGGTTATGTCCCTCTTTTCATTTCACATACATACCATCTATTTATCTGAATATCTACTAAACAGCTTTCCTTTTATGTGGCTCGTTTACTTTATTTTTATATAAACGTACTAAGGCTACATAGTTCTCTCAAAGTACTCTTGATTATAGCTCCATTTTGGATATTTCAGTTCTAAATAACAACTTCCACTTTGATATACAAACCTACTTATGATCTCACTCTCATGTGCAATCTAAAAAAGCTGATCTCAAGGTAGTGGGGAATAGAATAGTGGTTAGCAGAGATTCAGCAAGTAGTGATGAGAAGAGATTGGTCAACAGGTCCAAAGTTACCACAGATAGGAGGACTATGTCCTGGAGTCCCATCACACAGGTTACTAAACTACAGTTAATAATAATGTACTGTACATCTCAACATAACTAGAAGAGAGGATTTTAAACGTTCTCCCCACAAAGAAATAACAAACGTTTCAGGCTACATTTCTGTTAACTACACTGATTTGATTACTAAACAATGTGTATGTAGTACAAAAATATGCACAAGTATGTGTCAATTAAAAAGAAAAGTACATAAATCCCCACATGTAAGTATCTATGTATAGGCAGCAATCCTGCTAACACATACATCTGTGTCTAGGATTCGCATTTCCAGATGTATGGCCTCGTATTTTTGTTGTTAACATGATTATTTGCTATTTTGAGACTTCCTTTGTGATTTGGCATCTAGTTGACTTTCTATTACATTAAAGTTGCATTATTTTATTTCTCTATTCCTTTATTTATTTTTACTTCATTGTTTCCCGTGATAGACTGGTGTTTCCTGCAAAAGACCAGTGTTCTACTCTGTGGGTCCTGAAAACTATCATTCTAGTCTTAATCTATTTTGACTCATATAGTTAATCAAAGTCACATTGTAAAGTACCAGTTAACAACTAATCACGTTTTTGTGAACTGGGTCCTCTCTAAGTATGAAATTTCCTTTAATTTTATAAAGCCTCTTGTTTTCAAATTTCTTATATATATTAATATTTTGCCTGTTGTTTGCCTTATATATCTTTTGTAATCACATTATGACAAATTTTCTGTATCATTTTGCTTCAGGTACCTTCCCTATATGTAGAATGCAGTTCGATGTATTTTTTTCTAAGAGTTTTTCACATGTGCCTAGAAAAGTTCTATCATTTCTGTTTTCTAATAACCATCATCTCTTAATATGTTTGTGTCTTATCTTTTTGAATTATACTTAATGTTATATTAAATTTATTTTTAATTGGGTGATGCCTATGGCTCAGTAGGTAGGATGCCTGCCCCATATATTGACGGTGGCAGGTTTGAACCTGGCCCCGACCAAACTGCAACAAAAAAAGGTGGCCGTTGTGGTGGGTGCCTATAGTCTCAGCTACTCGGGAGGCTAAGGCAAGAGAATCGCCTAAGCCCAGGAGTTGGGGCTGCTGTGAGCTGTGATGCCATGCCACTCTACCAAGGGCAATAAAGTGAGACTCTGGCTCAAAAAAAAAAAAATTAATTTATATTCTTGAGCCAGTTTCTAATACTTTCCATTGAACTACACAGAAACATAAACATATTTTATTTTTCAAAAAAGCTTCCCTGCCTTTCCCTACGAAAATGAAATATTCATTACAAGTAGTAACTCCTTTTTCTTCTTAGTAACAGATCTCAAAACTTAAACATTCCTTTTAAGTAAGAACGGCTCAACATTACTATAGTAATTTTTATCCTGACAGCCTGGGAAAATTTTGTTGCACACATAGACCCTAAGTTGATCATCCAAGGGACTATAACAAACTGGTCAACCTACACAGAGGTGGTCAATATAAGGAACTAGGTCTACTGTGCTGATATGTACATGTGGTACATGTCTGGTCTGTTAAAATTAGGGCAATTTAAGGATGATGACAATGTAGGGAGGTGGTCAGCTAATATAATTCTACTGTACTATGTGTAGTATGAAAATATCCTAAAATGACTCATTTCTCAAATTTTGAGATTAAAGAATTAAAAAGCTCAACTTTTAGATACGCGGGTTATGGACAACCAGTAATGTTAAAAATATTTCTGTTCTTCAGAGCTTTATCATTTACTAAACTGTACTAATGGCGTTCTAAGCCTGAAATAACACAGTGAAGACAGACATACTTACTGTACAGACATCATGCTCGTCTCCATTGCTGAATCTACTCTTCCCTCATCTGTTGTTTCCACCGCTGATCTGTCTGTTTCACCTGGAAGTTCAGGTGCACAAGCTCCATAAAGTTCTGGGGCTGTAGCTACATAAGGTGAAGGAACAAAACTGCTACTACGTAACTTACTGACTTCTTCTTCAAGCTTTTTCTTTTCTTCAAGCAAACGAGCTCGATCTTCAGAAAGTGACTCTATCAAATCTGAAAAATCCCCAAATTGAAATAAACATTATATATTGAAAAAACTTTTTTTTTTTTTTTTTTAAAGAGAGTCTCATTTTGTGTCCCTTGGTAGAGTGCTGTGGCTTCATAGCTCACAGAAACCCCTACCTCTTGGGCTTAGGAGATTCTCTTGCCTCAGCCTCCTGAGTAGCTGGGACTACAGGTGCCCACAACAATGCCTGGCTATTTTTTTGTTGCAGTTTGGCCAGGGCCAGGTTCGAACCCACCACCCTCGGTATATGGGGCTGGTGCCCTACCCACTGAGCCACAGATGCTGCCCTTGAAAAAACATTCTGCATAAGTAAAAAGAAATTATACATATTATATTATAAAACATTGCTAACCTTTATCCCGTTCTTGCTGCTGCATCGTACTTTTCAATTTATCACTAAGATCATTTATTATGTTTTCTTTTCTCATTTTCTCTCTTGTTAAAACAGTGTTAAAATTGGTCTAAAACAAAGAAAAACAATGACTGAAATTATGTGTAGTAGACAGAGCTGAAAGAATAAACTTGCAAATATTTTTTTCTATGGTGTATTTGCATATGGATAATGATATTTATGAATATTTTTAAAAATAAAAATGCTATGTATACTATGGGAAAGGCTTTATTTTTAAGGTTGCAATTTAATATTAAAAAAATTCTATTTTTTCATTATTGTCCATATAATTACTGTCAGAGATTCTGACATTTCAAAGAATTGTAACAATTAACAACCTAAGATTGCTGTTACACACCTGACTTTTTCTTTGAGTAATCATCTGCCTCTGAAACCTTTTGGTCTTTAGCTAAATCTCAACTACCACAGCTGACATTTTAGATATGACTTTATCCTATTTAAATCTCTTATTTGGGTATTTGTAATGCCTACTGGAATTCTGACTTGTATTGGCTAGACTTGTTATTTTTTGACTTGAACTTTTACAAATGTTCTTACTACAAAGCTCACATATCCAAATTCTGCATGAATCTCATGAGATTATTTGATAATTTTAACTGAACAGTTTATGAAATTTTTTTGAATTTGTTAAAAATTTCATTTGTAATATTTCATTAAGAAGAGCCTCCTAAAATGTAGTTCTCTGGTCCCTGAATTAAAGAATAATGCCAATAATGAGAAGAACAGGAAGATTTAAGAGGAAAAGAGTATGGCAATTTTGGATTAAAATCCAACTAATTCATTAAATGTAATTTCAAGCCAGAAACCATACAGCAAGATCCCTCATAAAGTAGAATTTATAATATGTCATTTTTAAAAGCTGTTTCATTATACACTAAGTTCTATATAGAAAACTAATGTTTGTAAAAGCATATTAACCATTGTTATTATTTTTTTCATTGTTCAGACAGATGACTCAATTGTGTTACCCTTGGGAAAGTACTGTAGCATCATAGCTTACAGCAACCTCAAACTCCTGGGCTCAAGTGATTCTCGTCTCAGATTTTCTGTTTTTTGTTTTTTTTTTGGAGACAGCTTCACTATGTCACCCTTGGTAGAAGTGCCGTGGCATCACAGCTCACAGCAACCTCAAACTCCTAGGCTTAAGTGATTCTCCTGCCTCAGCCTCACAAGTAGCTGGGTCTACAGGCGCTCGCCACAATGGCAGGCTATTTTTTTGTTGCAGTTGTCATTGTTGCTTTAGCTGACCTGGGCTAGGTTCAAACCCGCCAGCCTTGGTGTATGTGGCTGGCGCCGTATCCTCTGAGTGTCACTGAGCACAGCAGGGTGCCGTCAGTTTTTCTATTTTTAGTAGAGACCGGGGTCTCACTCTTGGTCAGGCTGGTCTCGAACTCCTGAGCTCAAGCAATACACCCATCTTGGCCTTCCAGAGTGCTAGGATTATAGGCGTGAGCCACCACTTCCAGCCCTTAACCACTGTTTTTATGACCTTTGCTATTAGTATAATTTAACACGGATTTTTTAGGAATATTATCATGTTTATAATAGGTATATTAATATAGAAAAGGTTAGTTAAGGCTGGGCATGGTGGCTCACATCTGTAATCCTAACACTTTAGGAGGTTAAGATGGGAGGATCATTTGAGGCCAGGAGTTCAAGATCAGCATGAGTAAGAGCAAGACCTCATCTCTATAAAAAATAGAAAAGCAAGTAGTTGAGTATGATAGCCTGTAGAAGACTGAGGTGCAGGGTTGTTTGAGCCCAGTCCAAGGCTGCTGTGAGCTATGACAGAGTCACTGCACACTAGCAGGAAGAACACAGGGAGACTCTATCTCAAAAAAAAAAAAAAGGTCTGCTTAAGATAAGTACCAACTAAACCCTAACCCCAAAATCATCTGCTTCAGCTAGGTACAAATTACATAACGTAAACATAACCTAACACACAAACTTTTGAAAATGTGAGTTATCTTGCAAGTTATCTGCCTTACGTCTCTTAGTCTCGTTTTACAAATATTTAAAAAGGGCATTCAAATGTGAAGAACTTAGATAGTTGTTAATGTTTTGTTGTGGTTTTAATCAGTTAATTATATCCCCTACTTCATTTTTGAAATCTGAAACTGTATAGATGCTTATAGAGCAGCATACAGAGAGACAATGAAAAAGAGAGAAAGAACAATTATATAGAGAATCATACAAAAGAATCCACAAATTCATATTCTTCACAGAGATGTCATTATGAACTCTTCACTAATAATTCTTAGGTAAAACTCTTGGCTACTCTCTCTCCCTAAACACCTATCTTCCTGGCTTTGAAGATACCATGCACTTCATTTTTTTAGTTGTCCTTATTTGCCTTTTCTAGGGTCCCCCTTTTTTCCCTCAGCCTTAAAATTTAAAGTTCTTAATGGGTCTGAACAATACTTCTTTTTTTGTTGTTTTTTGATTTATATTTATTCAAATTCTAAAAAGATACTAATTAAAACATTTCAGGAAAACATACCACGTAACGTTAAATGTATACATTAACGTAAAAAGCAGTTTCAGAAAGATATTCATTAAAATGAAACAAGTACGGTCAATTGCACCCTGGAAATAGCAGGAGCCACCCACACCCATCACTGCCAGCCTTGCAGTCCTCCAATTTTTCTCCATATTCCAGTGGGCAATCTTCATCAAGGGTATATCCACTTATATCATTCTTTTATTTTTCTCATTAGCTGTTGTACTTTAGGTGAAGTAGAAGCTCCCTACAAGATCCCTTCATGATCTAACTTACTTTATAAGCACAACCTCTTATCACTGACCAACAATGAATCTGTAAATTAATGAAGTTCAACAATATTGCAATCCTAGTCTACCACCAGACTATCATATGGCTAAGTATTACAGAAAGAATGTTTGAGAAATTTCTTTTGATCAGCATGTAAATTAGGATAACACAATTTAGAGAATTTTAGGGCTTACGGTGGTGATTTTCAGTCAGTGTGCCACTGGTGTGCTGTGAGAGGATCTTAGGTGTGCCATGAAAATTTTTAAAGAGTATCAATTAAATTATATTCAAAATAAGTTCAAAGCAAGGTAAGTTAGTTTCTCTTTTATATTTTGTTTTTTTTCGAGACAGTCTCACTTTGTTAACCTTGGTAGAGAGTGCCCAGGCATCACAGCAACCTTAAACTCTTGGGCTCAAGCGATTCTCTTGCTTTAGCCTCCTGAGTAGCTGGGACTACAGGCGCCAGCCACAACCCCTGGCTATTTTTTACAAAGGGGGTCTCGCTCGAGCTCAGGCTGGTCTTGAACTCATGAGCTCAGGCAATCCAATCTACATTGGCCTCCCAAAGTGCTGGTATTATAGGCATGAACCACCATGCCCTATTTAGTCTATTTTTTGATCACCATAATTTGTTTATTTTGTTTGTTGAGATGGAGTCTCACTATGTCATCCTCAATAGAGTGCTGTGGAGTCACAGCTCACAGTAACCTCCAACTCTTGGGCTTAAGCTATTCTCTTGCCTCAGCCTCCCAAGTAGCTGGGACTACAGGCACCTGCCACAGCACCCAGTATTTTTTTGTTGCAGTTGTCTTTATTGCTTTTAGCTGACCCCAGCCAGGTTCAAACCCCTCAGCCTTGGTGTATGTGGCTGGCGCCCTACCCACTGAGCGACAGGTGCCGCCCTCAGGATCACCATAATTTAAGTGTGCTGTGAAAGTTTAACTATAGGTTTGAATGTGCCATAAGATAAAAAAGGTTGAAAAACATTGGCTTAGGGTAAAAAATTTTAAATTTAAAAATCATCTATGTGGTAGTGTAAGCACCATCATTTTATAGAAAACTAATCTTATGGTTGGGTGTGGTGACTCATGCCTGTGATCCTAGCAACTCTGGGAGGCTGAGCTGGGTGGATTGCTTAAGCTTTTGAGTTCAAGACCAGCCTGAGTAAAAGCAAGACCCAGTCTCTACTAAAATAGAAAAACTGACTCAAGAGGATCACTTCAGTCCAAGAGTTGGAGACTGATGTGAGCTATGATGCCACCAGAGACAGCTTGAGACACTATCTCAGAAAAAAGAAAACAAAAAGAAAACTAATCTTAGTTCTAAAGAAGTTTAAATGATCTACCCAAATTCACACAGGTAGTGAAGAATCAGAAACAGAATTCTTATTTCCTAATCTCTTACCTACAACTGTATCATTTTGAAGCACCTGATATGGCCCAGTGACAGAATCAATATTAAAAATTTATTTAAAAATAATTTTTTTTATCATGAAAAAGATATTTAATATTAACAAGGTCAACATAAAAAACCCCATAGCTAAGATATAAGAAACTCTCAGCTACACGGGAAGTTCTATTTGTTAATTCACATCTACCTTCTTTAGATTTCAATGCAACAGGGAAAGAGGTACATACCTGCTGTTCAGCAATCAGAGATGTTCGAACATTTTGCATTTCTTCATTCTTTCTTTTTTCTTGTTCTTCAAGTTGTTCTAGAAACTTAGCTTTTTCTTCTTGAAGCTTTTCTTGAAGTTCAGCAACTAAGCTTGAAGAATCTTCTCTGGCAGATTCAATGGCAGAACTTAAAAATTAAATAGAGTATTACAGTTTTTTTTTAATTACACAATCACAAATGTACCAACTTTAGGCTATTTATCTGCCTTAAGCCTTATATAGTGTGAAAGATATTGGTGTGAATCTTTGCTCTAAAAAGTAAAGGAAAAAAAATTTTTTTTTTTTTTTTTTTTGAGACAGAGCCTCAAGCTGTCCTCCTGGGTAGAGTGCTATGGCATCACAGCTCACAGCAACCTCCAACTCCTGGGCT